TATCTGAGATGGCATAGCCTAATCTTCACTGTCCAGCCTAAACAGAGTTCAAAAACGCTTACGTGGACTGGTGTTTCATTTATTTATTCTACAACCTCCAACCCTTATCTTACAGACAAAACATCATCAGCCTTTCACTGTTATATCGCTATTACTGTGACAGATGTTCGGACGAATTACATTCCTTAGTGCCACCAGCTCGGACTTACACAGCTAGGATCCGCCATCCAGTTAAAGAGAACAAACCTTCCCATTAGATAATTCCGGCGCCGTCCGTTATATTTGCCAGCCGCGCGTCGTAGTGTTGAGATTTCGAGGAGGAAGACTTGAAAAGAAAAATTGACCTGTTCGCCTGAGATATTCGGAAGTATGAAAAGTTCTATTAAACTACCCAGACCGAGTAAGTGAAAAGCCTTAAAATAAACGGGGTTCGAATCTTCTTTTCTCTTTGTTTCCTTTCTAACTTGCAACGGACCATTTCTAATTTGGGTTGAACACCAATTCATGCACACACATACATACAACGAGTAAAATGCTGTATTTAATATTTAGATATAACATATAGTGTTACTTACCATTTTCAACAGTTTAGACGTCTCTGAAATGAAAGATTACATGATGATGTTTAGTGATTATATATGACTGAATACTTGCCAAAACAAATTTTCATAGAACTTTTTCAAATAATTCATTTAGAGCAAAGCTTTATATGGTTAATCTCGTCAATTCAAAGTTTTACAAATATATAATTCAGAAGGAATTCATTACATGTGAAGTTTCAAAAGATAGACATTTTATATATAAAGCTAAATGAATTGAAATCACTCAAATGAACTTATATATCTCGATATGTCAGAACTAACAACAAATGCAGCAGCCATTCACTGCCCCATCTTTGTCAAGAAATGGAAATGTAGAAGAGAAAATAGTCTGTACAGTTATTCATCCATTCTGTTTTCCACTGTCGAATATAAAAGACGGGACCAGTGTTTCTCAACCGGTGTTCTCCGGGAAACGCTACGGTTCCGAAAGAGGTTGCTAGAGGTTTCGCAAGAAACACTAATAAATAGGCTAATACATTTTTTTTAATTATTTTTTCTTTAATTCTATCTTCATAATTATTAATAGGAGAGTCGTAACATCTCCGTAACATATAATTCCTTTTTCTATTGTCAATTTATGTCTTGACGTTTTATAAGGCCTCTCAGCCATAGAGCAATCACTCCATGTATTCTTTTTTATTCTATTTATATATCTCTTCAACACTAGGTCCAGCTTAATTCCCAATCTAAGCCGATTTAAGATTTATATATCTGTTTCTATCCAGTGGAAAATCCTCTCCTCACAATTTTCACTTGCTTCAACATTTTTAGTCTCAAACTTTAACTAAGATAATGCATCCTTATGGGTAATAGTATTTCCTTTGATATATGCTATGTCAAAGTTGAACGCTTTAAGCTTAATTGCCTGGTAGATGTGACATTTGGCAACACTCTTCTGAGGTTGAATTTTAAATTCCAAAGGCTTATGATCAGATTTTAATAGGAATTTCCTTCCCCGCAAAAAATCTCTCTCTCTCTCTCTCTCTCTCTCTGTGTGTGCGCGCGCGCGTGTGTGTATGAGTGTGTGTGCTCCACACAATTGCCGATGCCTCCTGAATATTCGAATAATTCGCTTCTGCCAATGTTAGTTTTCTAGATAAGTCCATTACAGGGTGTAATCCTCTTGCGACAATATTTCAGCTATAGCGCATTCGCTAGCATCAGTAATTAACGTCAATTCTTTTTCTAGATCGAAGATGTTAACAAGATGGTTTGTTTATAAGTTCCTTTTTTAATTTTTCAAAAAGCGATATCCTGTCTTTTTGACCCTTGACACTTGGTATTCTTCTTTCTTATTTCGTTAAACGGTTCCACAAGATCACTATATCGCGGTGTATATCTTTTATAGAAATTGGTTAATCCAAAAAAAAAGATTCTTACTCTTTTCTTTTTAATTTTGGGTGCAGCTATCTCTGATATCTTATTAATGAGTTTATCATCCGGCGATATACCGTCTTTGGATATATGATATTTTAGGTACGAAAATTTTTCACAATTAAACTCGCATTTATCGCGATTGTCTTACCTATGCGATCTAATTTTCTTAAAAATTTCTCCATTTTACTTTTGAGCTTATTATTGTGTGCACCTGTGTCATTGTCGTCCTGATACACAGTTATATTTTTAATCCCCTCTAAAAAAATTTTTGATGGCTTTTTGGAAAATGTGACTTGACGTTTTTACTCCAAACGGCAGACGAGTTTTAGTAATCCTATCGGCGTGTTTATTGTGACGACTTCTTGAAATCTGCCATCAATTTTATCTGATTTAAGGTCAACTTTAGCAAAGTATTTCATGCCAACAAACTCATGGCACGCTGTTTCAATGTTTGGCAACAGGAATGAAACCGAATAGATCTGGCGATTCATGCCACCTTATAATCACCATATATACTCAAATCTCCACTGGGCTTACGTATCGTCACAATTGGCCAAGCCTAATTGCTAGCACGCTGACTGACTTTTTCTAATACTCCTTGTTCCACCATTTTGTTCACCTTAGCAACCACGAAAGGTAACATGTGAACAGGAACTTTTCGGACTTGAAAATACATGAGTTGACTGCTTACTTTAAGCCGAATACTCGTGTCAAACGTGCCTCCAATGCATCCTAAAATTTTAATGATTGACCCGTCGAACTGTTTCAACTGGATATTACTTTTCTTTAACTTTGGTCCACCCATTCTTTCCCAAAAGTTCCTCAATATCAACGTAACATCACTTCCATTATCTATCTACATGAGTAAAGTTACTCTGTTCAACTTCACCATTTTCCTACTTTTATCTTGTGATTTTATTTCAAATACTTCTGTACTTTTAATCGGAGGATCTATATTTTCCACTTTTTCTACTCGCTTTTTATGTGTATACTGCCTGTTTCTCTTTTTACACTTAAAATACTATTTCCCAAAGGCCGGACACTTATTTTTGCTCTTTTCATGTTCCTTATTACAATATCTGCAAACAAGTAATCTTTTATTAGCACTAAAAGTCTCCATACTGCTTTCGGAGGCATTAAATTTTTTAATGAATTCCAATTTTTGTAAGCACTCCTCACATGCTTCCAAATTCATATTGTGAGCTTGAAGCCACTCTAGAATTTTAAGCTTGTACGAGATGTCAAACATTCCTTCAATCAGTCTTAGCATGATTGCCTCGTCTTCGATAGACATTTGTCCCGAACCCATTCTTTCAAACTCACAACATCTCGACGCTTCTTTCAATCGCTGTACATATTGTATAATAGTTTCGTCCGGTCTCTCTCTACTTTCAAGAAATTTAGTTCTTTCCGCTATGACCAATCTTTTTTAGCCGTATATTTGCTTTTATGATGGCAGAAATTTCTTCATAGTCTAAATCTTCCAACACTTTGGGATAGAGCATAATTTCTTTTTCTTTCTTTTTTTTTTTTTTGGCCTCACTCCTCGCTGAGGCCAAAAACAAATCCGTAACTTCATTTTCTCCTCCACTGTCTTTGTATCTTTATTTATTTATTTATTTTTTACTCACGACGACGCTGTGAAACACCTAAGCCATTGTGGTTAAGTAGCCGACCGGCGACGCCATATTGTTATGATAAACTATTCTCTCTGACGGTTGTAATCTCGTCAAGAGAAGGTAACTCCCGTAGGTATAACGATACTGCCTTTTATACTGTACCTATTTTATATATCATTACAACACTATTTATTACTGTTCTCATTTCTGTTGTTTTTATGACAACGTGTCTAAAGAACTTCCACATGTGTATATCGATCTGTCTAGCCTAGAGGGAATTCCGAACTGAACCATTTATTTAATCTAAGAGGGGAGAGTGTTCTCGTTCCACTGTATTCCATTTTGACAATATGCCTGTCTTCTTCAAGTTGTTTTAAAAATTGCATACAAGAATAAAAATATAAATGAATCTAATATTTCTTCCAGATGTTGTTGTTATTATTATTAATGTACTTTTTCGCTGTCTTCTTCTTGGCTACCTTCGTCTTTTTCTTCCATATCTCCTTTTTCTTCTCACTATTATTATTATTATTATTATTATTATTATTTTCCTTCTCCGCTGTGTTCTTGGCTACCTTCGTCTTTACTTACTGCATCTCCTTTTTCTTCTCATTATTATTATTATTATTATTATTATTATTATTATTATTATTATTATTATCCTTCTTGGCTGTCTTCTTCTTGGCTACCTTCTTCTCCTTCTACATCTCCTATTTCTTCTCAATATCATCACCATTATTGTTATTATCAATATTATTGTTATTATTATTATTATTATTCACCGTTTTCTTCTTGGCTACCTTCTTCTTCTTCTACATCTCTTTTTTCTTCTCAATATTATTATTATTATTATTAGTTAATCTTCTTCTCCTTCTACATCTTTTTCATGATCCATTCTTCATATTTCCACCATTATCCCTCGTTGTCATCTATATGAGAGCCAGTTGAAATTACTTTTAATTGTCGTAAACCCTTTCCAGATGAAATAAGTAATGAAATTATTTACCAGATGAAATATCATCCTCCAAAGAAGCAACAACTGTTTTATTCGGGGATTCTTGCAGTTCTATCGTTAAGTGAGTAGTTGTGGTTGCGTTGAAAACAGAAGCCATGATCTGAAAGTCTTCTCCCATGTAGGCAACATTCGAGAAATAGATGAGGTATTTTCCATCTTGTTTCCTTTCAAAATAAAAGATAAGAAATAAAAGCAACAATAATTTTACGTAATTTCTAATTAGTCTTGGCCAACGTAACATTACACCAAACAACATCTGTACGATTCATGTTCAACTATTTAATATTAACGAAAAATAGCCTAACAACGGCAATGGTACCTTAGTCTTCTACAATAATATCCTTTTGTTTCCGCATGCGCTTATTTTAGCATTCCGCCTATGTTTCAAGCCGGTTCTCGTACGACCACCGAAGTTAAGTAACGTCGAGCCAGGTCAATACCTAAGTGGGTGACCGCTTGAGAATATCAGGTGCTGTAAGCTTGGATGTGCGGGTGATGTAATGGATAATCGCCCGGGATTGTTAATCGGAGTGGCAAGTTCCATTTTCCGTTGGGTTGGTTATATTTATTTGCACGCAAATACCCTTATTAAAGATAATGAATCCAACTCTTCTCCCCACACCCAGCTATGGATTCATTAGTAAGACGTGTTTCACTAAATTATTATTATCTCCAAAAATAAAATAAAAAAGAAAAGACTTGAGATTCTTGGACCTTCGACTTGAGATTTAAGATAACGAAATAGCGAAAGATGCCTTCCAAAAGATAAGCAAAGTATCTTAGGACCTATATTTGGCAGAGAATACTGGACGGCTTATGGTCGCATCACGTTGCAACATCGGTAACGTACGATCACCGAATTTAAGCTACGTCGAGCCTGGTAAGTACCTAGATGGGTGTCCGCTTGGGAATACCATGTGCTATATGCTTGGAGGTGCGGGCGGTGCAATGAATAATCGCCTGGGATTTTGTTAGTAGGAGAGCCGAGTTCCAATTTACGTTCGGTTTGTTATATTCACTTGTAAAAGTATGAATCCACTTCTTCTTCTCTCAGCTGTGGCTTAATTAGTAAGATATATATCATTAAACAAGTGCAGAGGAATCGGAAAGAGTTAGATGAGTCCAGTGGTGATTACGAAGGGAGGACAGCTAGGAAAACACACACTGGCCGTTCTTTTAAGAAAAGAACTCCCGAATTTGTTGGTGAGAACCTCAGACTCAACACGGAGGCCTACATCAGGTGCCCTGAGGAGGTAGTGCTGCCCTGGGTCAAGAGGGTGTGGCTGCTGAATGATCCTATGTCTAGCAACACGACTCTGCACCAAGCCACACAAACAAGAAAACTCAGTCATGGCTGTGAGACAATTTGTGCGACCACATCGCCCCTTACATCTATCTGGTCACCTAACTCCCCAGACTAGCAACCCCTTTTATTATTATGTGTGGGGTGCAGGTGATCAAGAGAAACGGCAAAACTCCTTGTAACACCAAAGATGAACTGTGGCAGCATTCACCAACTTAAACAAGGAGACCATCCAGAATAGATACAGGAGATTCCGAAGTCGTCTGGAGGCCACGGTTGAAACCAATGGTGATTTTATTGAATAATTTTACTCTTTATTATTTCAAGATATTTTTGTGTAACTTTGGTTAAATGAGATATCAGTGTTATTTTCATTTTTGTGTAATTTAGACGGCAATTTATCCATCACACTTCATTATGTCAAAATGGATTCAAGAATGTCGGCCAAAACAAAGTCTATAACCTTTTTTTACAGTGCTACATAAAAGCAATTTTTTGACATTTAGGAATTAGTTTTTATGAACACAACGAAGATTTAAACAGAAAATGATATGAAAATATTATACTCACGGATTCACAAATTCCTGACTTCCTAATGATGTTGTGACGACGATGGCCAAAAGCCACCATAGCCGAATGGGGAATTTCATTTCACCTGAAATATTAAAAAATATCTGTATTATCATTGTTGTTATTGTAATTATGTTTCTTTACTTTCGCTCTTCTTCTCTCCTGTTGCTTGTTCGATTTCTCTTTCATTTCATTATAATTAGCATATTTTAATTCAACTTGTTCTTTAGCGAGTTAGCACTTACGCCACTCCCTGTAATTGCTTATCTGTCCCCTGCCCTCAAATTCTTGATATAGTACAAAGCGAATATCGGACAGAGCGAATCTCTAACATTTTTTTAACTTCGAACAAGCCTTATTCTAGGATACATGGAATATATATATATATATATATATATATATATATATATATATATATATATATAATAATGGACTCTCCTGTCGGTTTCGACGTATGAGGATCTGACAACTTAGTTGATTCATTTATGAAAGTTTGTACGATAATCTTAAGCGGCATTTCAGACTCACTAGTGAGGCCACATATGGAGCAAGTGTGTGGATTGTGAGATGAGATCACTTTTAAATTGGCTGACCGTTTAGATCTTTCTCTCGCTTCTTGAAGATGATTCAGACAAGCAGATTGAAAATTGCTGAGTCCACTAAAAAACGTTGATCGCCATTCTACCCACTCCAAGTCTAAGCGCTCAAGGGTGTTATGTGGTATATTGACTGCTGACATATATATATATATATATACACACACACATACATACATATACATATATATATATATATATATATATATATATGTGTGTGTGTGTGTGTGTGTGTGTTTCTAGAAAGAAAGAAAGATAGAAAGAAAGAAAGAAAGAAGAGATATTGGAAGAGATGAGGTCACCACCTTCAGTGACTTGAAATTGGTTCCAGCAAACTTGAGAACGCCGGAATAAACCAATAATAGTGACATAAATATAAGCAAAACACAATCATTGAAAACAAATGTAGCAAGTACGAAAGTATTCGATGAAAAATTATATATACATACATACCACCCACACACACACACATATATATATATATATATATATATATATATATATATATATATATATATATATATATATTCACAAGTATGTCTCCTAAGACAAAATTAAATTGCTAAGACAAAAATTATTGTAAATATTATTTTTTTGTAAATGCGCTTGAATCGCGCTGCGTTATAGTCAATTTACATTAAGAATATGTAAGGGAGGTAACTCAGATTAAATTTTTATTATTACTGTTTTAATAATACTTTACCTGATTTTTTTACAATTTCAGTATCTCAAAACATTACTTTCATTTTAAAATATCGTTGAAACACTCATTATTAATTTTCTTTAGATTTGGTTTCATTTTTTTTTATATAGAGTATTTCGCAAGTACAAATAGCATTAATTTTTTTCTTAGCAATTCACCCCTGAAGATGATCTTGAATGAGATTGAAATTAGGAAAATAACATAGATAACCAAAATTGTGTCATCTTTCTTAATCAGTTCTGTAACAACACTAA